GTGATTTTCCTGCTGCTCATTTCATACCTTAATTCTTAGAGGCAACATCAGGTGTCAGTGTTTTGGGATGTATGTTGTACAATACAAGGCATCATCTGGCATCCTCTTTTGACTGAGGACCATGTAATTATTTTACTGTTTTAAAATCTTATTTGAGAGTTACTTTGTAAAGATGGATTTTCTGTTTTCCTTTTTTTTTTTTTTCTTTTTTTTTTTTAAAACTGGATATTGAAATTATAATTTTGTTCAACCTGGGGGATTAATTCCCTCTAACACTTTGACTTGTGTCGATTGGTGGAGATCCTGGAACAGGAGATCCAGTGCTGGCGCAGACTTTGCTGTTGAGTCTTTCCACAGCGCGAAGGCCATGCAATCACTAGGAAGGCTGAAGAGCTCATAGTATAAATTACAAGCAATACGAAAAATGTGACCATGACACAATGTTGTGGGAACAAAGTATTAGAGCACATGAGGATCTTTTAGTTCTGCAGAGTGAAGGAATGGTGATTGGTAAGAGGCAAACTGTCTTACTTTGTAGATATGACAGCATCTAAGAATTTATTTTATTTTTGGGGAGAAGGGAGGCAGCATTTTGGAGCCAGTTAATCAAAAGTTTATTAGTTGTTTGAAGATTTCCAAAGTTTTGTTGTGTCAGAAGTGGAAATTAATAAACTGAGGTTTGTGATGTTGTACTGAGGTTACAACAGATTTTTTTTTTAATACTGTATTTCTACACCTTGGGTAACATGAATGTCGCATTCTTATGTGCATGTGCTTTCATGAACTTAACTTTTTTATAGAAGTCTGTGTCATACTCGTCCAATGTCTACTGTTTCAGTTCTCTTTTTCCTTTAAACACAGCTGTTGGAGCTGTTTGACAGTGAAGACCCTCGAGAACGAGACTACCTAAAAACAGTCTTGCACAGAATTTATGGCAAGTTTCTGGGTCTTAGAGCATTTATCCGAAAACAGATTAATAATATTTTTCTACGGTAAGTTGTGGGAGAAGGTACTTTTGGCTTATGGACATTTTAGGAAACCAATATATTACTTATATTTAACTTTTATTTTTTTAGATTTGTTTATGAAACTGAACACTTCAATGGCGTAGCTGAACTGTTGGAAATTTTAGGAAGGTAAACGAGTCCTTATTTATAGTCTATCTCAAACTTCTCTTCTGGACACATCAGAATAGTGTTGGATTCAGAAAAATTAGTGCTGTAAGCCCCGATTCTGAAAACAGATGTGTGCACATGCTCATCTTTAAGCCCATGTGCAAATCTCTGTCACATCTTTGCCAAGAGTGTATGACTGGGTGCAAGTTACAGCCAAAAGCTTTGGACTGATTTTGTGTGTGTATATGTGTTAAATTTCGTGCACTTCATCTTTACGCGCTGCAGAGTTTGGGTTTTTTGGGGTTTTTTTGGGGGGGGTTTTGAGCACAGTAACTGTGAATATTTTGAGTAAATCTAATTCTGGTAAGTTCTTTTACTCAAGAACACCTTGCATACATGAATTCACAGACTGCTTAGACAAGGTCTTATCTGTTTGGGAACAGGCATGTGCAGCTGTTTGTGTGATTATTCCTAAGTTGGAGCCGAATTGCTACCTAGATATATACTGTAGTGCTCATATAAAGCAGGACAAAAGTCATCACCTGTTTACAAATGACATGAGCCTGCTGTTTGTAAAGAGGTGCTGACTGCTGAATTATTTTAATTTAGGAAGTACTTGTTCAGACCTCAATAATGTTTTCTGTGGTGATAACACTAACAAATGTTTCTCTTCTAATTTCTAGTATTATCAATGGTTTTGCTTTACCTCTTAAGGCAGAGCATAAACAATTTCTGGTGAAGGTGCTGATTCCTTTACATACTGTCAGGAGTTTATCACTCTTCCATGCACAGGTATAAATTACAAAAATATTTTCTGCTCAGCTAGAGTGATACATATATTTTTAAGGTTGCTTTGGAAATTTAATTGCATAGCATATAAAAGGTGGGGGGAAAGTTTTGAAATGTGGAAAAAATGCATTAGATTTTTTTAAAAATGCATTTAATGTGATTTGTGTGTTAAATGTCTTGCTTCTGTTGTGATTAGATAATAAAAAGTGTAACATACATCTGTAATATTTGGGGATTTTGTTTAACAGCTAAACTCTGTCTTTAGATTTTCCTCTCCACTATTTTCTCATTCTCACAAGTTTGCCTTTCCCATTCTCTCTCATGATGTAATTTTTCTCTGATAAGTGGTGCCTGTTGCCTTTGTCTCTGATTTTCAAGTAGTGCAGTCATTCTTATACTGATAAAACTGTGCTTTCTAAATATGTTATTCTAGGTGTTAGCTGTGTCAGCTCACCATGCCAGACTTTTTGTGGTTTTGCCAATGTATGAATGTGTAAAAATATGCAGTTTCAGAGAGTAACAGAAGCTTCAAAACATTGGTTGTGTGACTGCATTTAGAATTCCAGGTTGCTCTGATTTTTATTGTCTATGCTGCTTGGTCACCCTGCTTTTTTTTGAATGTGTTCTGTTGTTTCTTATGAGCTGAACTTTGAGGGAGTTTGCACAGTGCAATCTACGTGCATCTCAGTTTAAAATTGGATGCAGTTTGAGAAAGCTGTGGAGCATCTTGCCTTGAGTCTTTTTAAAAATATATTTTCTTTGTGGTTTCTTTACAGAAATGTTCTAACTTCATTTTCTTAAATCTTTACCTCTTTGCAGCTGGCGTATTGCATAGTACAGTTTCTGGAGAAGGACCCCTCGCTCACAGAACCAGTAAATATTTCTTTCATGCTTTTTTTTTCATAATAAATGGCTTACCCTGTTAAGAGAAAAGTCAAAAATCTAACTTTTTTTTTCTCCTAATTCAGGTCATTAGAGGTTTAATGAAATTCTGGCCAAAAACCTGCAGTCAGAAAGAGGTAAGTGATATGCTAGTATTAACGATACATAGAGTTATTTTGTGTTACGGTATATAATAGGCAGGGAATCTTTAGATGTTCCCAGGTAGATAGGACATGCTATGGTGGATCTTGATATTAACTCTTGTAGGTGGTGTTCCATACTTGAATTGTGGTTTTTTTGGACAGTTTTGACTATGAAGAGATAAGTTTGATAACCATGGTTTCTGTTCACAAAATAAACACTAGTTCTTGTGCAGAGAATTTCTTTTTGTTTTAGAAAGGAGAAAGCAAACATAGTTGAGGAAAGATTGGAAAGCTCCATTAGATTTGGAATTGTTTGTGTGTGAAGATAGGATTTTTCCAGGGAGGATGAAAGATATTTTGTTGTCTGGCTTCTACCCTCTAAACTTGTAAAAGACGCATTTAGACCTTTACATTTTCATTTCAAATTCTTGATGCAAATGAGAGTTTCCCTAATGAGATTTTACGACACAGCAAACCCGTTATTTTGAATATTGTTTCCAAAAATGAGGTAAAATTAAGAGACTCTCTTTAGTTAACAAAGTTTAAGACTTGGCCAAATTCATTATCTGTATGAGGCTAGGTTTTCGGCATGGATATACTGGTGCAATTATGAGTTTTGTTGTACAGGACTACTCTAAATACAGCATTTGCACACGCTTGTCCTTTTAAGAAACTGAATCCAAAAGCTAGTAAAGGTAGAACTGAAAATGTTTTTGAGAAAGGGTCTTGCTGAGCCAGTGAGGCTTCCATTTCTTCCTAAAGTGGTAGAATTTGAGGGTTACCAGCATTTTGTTGATCAAGACGATACAGAGGTTTTATATTCAATGTTTCCTTCCTTGTCTTTAGGTCATGTTCCTAGGAGAGCTGGAGGAAATCTTGGATGTAATCGAACCATCACAGTTTGTCAAAATCCAGGAACCCTTGTTTAAACAAATTGCCAAGTGTGTCTCTAGCCCTCATTTCCAGGTCAGTGGTAGAGATTACTATTTGTATAGGCATCTATAGTCTCAATTTCAAACACAGCATCCCCCCCAAAAGCAAATATTATTTTATGTTACGTGGTTTTAAATACTTGTAGTCTGAATTTCCATGGAAGAGGGTATGTTGCAGTGCAAGTTTAGTTCTGAGCTCCACAAATAACTTGTTAAATGGATCAGGGGTTACAGCACAGAACTTGTTGTTCTGAGCCACATAAGGCCTTAAACTGTATCCAAGCAGACTTGGAGCCCTTCTGAGTCTACATGACAGGTGCTCCCTGCGTGGCTTTTGGACTGATAGACCATGTACTATGTATTTGCACCCTTTCTTAATGCAGTATTGTGCAGAATTCTTGTTTTCCTACTCACTTCCTTCTGCAAGGAGATGTCTGGTTAGAGGTGATAGAACCCGTAGCCTGTTTCCTTCACATTGTATAACAGGAAGAAGAGGAATCAATAGGATTTAAGTTGAGTCATATGTGAAGAGGAGACAGGATTTATGGCATGTAGTGTCTCCATATTAAGCTAGGTGGCCTATTCTGTCACAAAGGCAGATGTGACTGTTTTAGGCTCTTCCTTGCACTGCATTTGTTTTTACCATAATTTAGATCAGTGTTTTCCCTCCTACATCCCCCCTTTCTGCTCCCCAAGGTGATTATTATCATTATCCCCACACTTAAGACCTCTCCCCCCTTATTCAGCCCAGCTACTGGGCCTTTCCCTATCTCCTTCCTCCGGTACTCCACCACTGCTCTCTTCCTTCCAACTGCAGTGACAGGATTGAGGGAAAGGGGCGATGGGAAGTCTGTCTGCTCTCCCTTCCCCTCCACAGCTGCAGCATTAATGCAGTGTCTGCACCTGGTCTTCAGTGAGTAACAACATAACGTTGAGGGGAAAGAGACGAGTGGATGCTGTGGGATCTGAATTATAGGATAAAAACATAATTCCATTAATGCATGTTATGCTACTGATTAGAGTTTTAATTCCAAAGTTAATGATTCCTGTTAATTCATCTTCGTGAAATCTCTCTGTGATTTGTTTTTCCTTCAGAAAATTACAAAATTATAGATGTCTGAATTCCTGTTAATGTTTTATTCCTTTGACTTAAAGGTGGCCGAAAGAGCGCTGTATTATTGGAATAACGAATACATCATGAGTTTGATAGAGGAGAACTCAAATGTTATACTTCCCATCATGTTTTCCAGCCTTTATAGGATTTCTAAAGAACACTGGAATCCGTAAGTTTTTGTCGTTACACTTTATCTTACCATTCCACATACCACTGGATAAACTTAGGGAATGTCTGCTGGAGAACATCTGAACAGGAGAGATTCAAATTCAAAGCTGGCATGAGCAGGTGCAACGCTGTTAGTGCCAATATAAATTAGGCTATACGTGAGCTTGTCTCAAAATGTTTTTAATTATCTGGTATGTGTACAAAAATCAGTACCTTACGGGGTAAAAATAGACCTTCTCACAAGTTGGAAAAAAGAGAAATTAGACGTTACATTGTTACAGAAGAAAAAGTGTTGCTCATCAAGCATTTTCTCCTACACAGTTTCTTATAAACTGGTTAATCTCTTAAGCCTGATCTTAAATTGTCTGGAACAATACTGCTTGGCATTAATAAAGCTTCGTGACTGTATCGTGGATGATGCTGATACCTCTGGTAGACCTCTGGTTCTAGCGTTTTTCTAAACACCTGTGAAGCATGTAGATAGACATCAGTATATTCTTAGGTTGGGGTGTTTTTTCTAAATTTATTTAAACATAGCTGCTCTCTGTTATGCACAGTAATAGAGTAATTGCTTCATATTGATATCCTGTTAATTTGGAATTTATGTTTTTGAACTAAATGACCCTAGTAGAAAGTGTTTTAATGGAAAATCCTATTACGGTTAGATGCCATGTGTTCTGTGCTTTAGTTGAAAAGTTTTTCTAAGTCAAGGTGATTACGATTTAGTAAACCCAGTATTTTTAATGACCTCAGCTATGCTCAGGTCCCAGTTGCTTTAAGACCTTACTATAAGGTATTTGTAAAATATTTCATCTTTTAAAACGTTACTCTTTTTGTTGTGTATCTAGCCAAACCTCAAGTTTATGCGCTTTCATGATGAATCTAATGCTACTGGAAAGCTTCTGTAACTAACAATCGTCACAAAAAGTCACTTTCCATGGCATAGTATGCATTACTACTCTCCAACCTGCTCGTGCTCTGGTCCAACCTTCTATACTGTGTGCTGGAATGCTTCTGTTAATGAGAGTGTTCCAGTGTCCCAGTTTTCATACCCACAGGAATATTGTACCTTTGACATGCAAGCCAGGCTAAGATACATGTAAAATAAAGAAAGTATTTAAAGAATTTTTATATTTTTATAAGAACATTTTTAAATGTAGGCAACAAAAGTGAAGGTTTATGGAGAGAGGTGGATGATAGACGGGGAGGGAGCGTGGGAAACGACACATAGTTTGTCTGCTATATGGTTTCTTCCAACGGTTCCTGCCACTTGCAATGTTGGTTCGCTGCCTCCTGGCTGAAGAGCTGTTTCTTAAACAGCCCCATGTCCGTATATGACAACCATAGTAGTGGATCAGCCACTGGGATCTCTTGATTGATAATCTATTCCAAATTGTTTGAAAGCGTTTTAGATTTGTTTCTTTCCCTTCTCTTTGTTGTTTCTTTATATTCATCTCTGCCACAAAGAAGTTTTGACCTCTAGATAATCAGAGGTCTGTTGGCTCTGTCTTACTTTGGGAATTCTAGTATATTTTAGGTTAGTTATCCAGTCAGATGGTATAAAAGAGTAAACTGATTGAACCTTTTTTTAACTTTTGTGGGACAGAATGCCTCTGAATCCTTTTGAAATAATTATCATTATACATCATTTCTTCCTGTACGAACAGATTATGCCTGTTATGTTTTATGCAATGAAGCAACTCAAATTCAAATAAACAGTGGTGTATTGGCTCTTGTGTAAGGTCAGAAACAGCAATAAGCAAGTAAGCAGAGGTTTATAGAGATATATCTGTATCTACAGATATATAGATACTATATATATATTTTTATATGCGTATATATACTTACACACACAGAGTTTTACACAGGTACTGCAGCACTCATCTGAAGAACTTGTGGGTTTTTAAGAGTTTTTTGCTGTAGCAAAGTGAAAATGAATGTGAAATGTATGAGTACAAGGAAATCACTCTTGAAATACAGCCTTGTATTTGACATAGATGCACTGAATATTCAGCTTCATAGAAAAAATCATAAGGAAATACGAATCAATCCTGTTTCGTGTTTAAATTCTGTTCCTTCTGCCAGCATTGATGATTTGAATCCCTGGAGTTGCATTTAGAATTGCTCCACAGCATGAGGGAAGAGTCTGTAGTTATATGTAATAGCTTTCTGTTGTTACCTTTTACCCTAGAGTTTTGGCTTGCTCCATTTAAGTAGTCAGTAGAGACATGAAAGCTGATTTTCATCTTTAAATATGTTAATCAAAAGTAGTTTCACTGAAATCAAAGAATTTACATTATCATACTTTCAAGAGCAGAATTGGTCGCAGAATGCTGGTAAGAGAAGACACTTATTTCACGTTTGATTTCACCTGAAGCTAATAGACTCCTTTCTTTTTTCTTTTTTAATGTTTCACAGGGCTATTGTGGCTTTAGTCTACAATGTGTTGAAGGCATTTATGGAAATGAACAGCACCATGTTTGACGAGCTGACAGCCACTTACAAGTCAGATCGTCAGCGGTAACTTTTTAAAGCTTTTTTTGTCAGCTGTGCATAAGGCCTGCTGTTTAGTTTTTCCCTTACACTCAGATGCAATCACATAATCTCACACATAATAGACATGATGCCTCATTTCCCCCCCTCCATGCTCTTTAGCCTTCTTTTTGCAAGATATAAGATAATACCACGTACAGGTTGTCCTTTACCCCTTGTGAAATACAGCATCCATTGCGTTGCTTGGGAACCCGCATTCCTCGTGGAATTCCTTTTGACACCGTGTTCCAAAAGACTGAAATGTATCAAGATCTTCAATAATGAAAGAAAAACAAGGCTTTAATGATAACACTTTGCCTGAAGACTTCAAAAAAAGTCTCACTAAGGTTTGGAAAGAGACATGAGGGAAAACTCTTAAGATTTGATTTTCCAGAGTACTCTTCTTAGGCTAGATGTGATCTTAAAGCAAGAAGCAGCTCTCAATCCTTTCATTTCGTATTCAGAGGTCTTGCTGTGTCTGAGTCTTTTAGCATGCAGGATCCATTAGATACACCATTCATGCAATCATTAGTTCCACCCTAGTAAAATACTTTTTGTCTTTTCTCCTATTTTCCTTAATCTTCGTTTTCCAATTTTAGTGCAGCATCTTTACTCAAAAGTTTCAGCTTATCTAAAGTGTCAGGTAAAAAAATGAGGAAACTCTGGGAACTCTGACAGTTTGCAACTTTGTTTAAGTCATACCTTTTCTGTGACTCAGGGTTCCTCCAAGCAAATCAAAGGCTGCTGTATGTTGTCAGACCTCGTTAGGTCAATATAGTCTCTAAAGGCTCTTGGAGGCCATGCTTTTTTAAATTGTGTGCCTGGAGTCACACTGTCCTTTTTGTTCTCCATTGTTGTTGTAAAATAGAAAGTTTTATACACAAAAAAATCTGCAATTAACAGGTTAGTTCAGTAATACAGCATTTTACGTTTAGAGACTTAGATCTATATTTGAATTAAGATGCTAGATGAATTCTAGATAGGTGTTGACAAATATGGCTCAATCTGCTAGGGCAGCTGAGACACCACTGCCTGTTTTCTAGAAGGAAAGGCAGAGAATCTTAGAACTGGTCGTCTAATCTAGCCACTTACTGAGGGACCTCAGTGACTTAAATCAATTTGCAGTTGCACTTTGCCACTGAAAATGAGGAACTCGGCTCTTAACGGGACCAGACGCTGTAGTATTATGTCCCATGTCTGGATAATGTGTGACGTTTATTGACTGAACTGCACAAAGAATATTTCTTGCACCTACTGATATTGTATCTCCTATCAAGGCTGGTGCTAACCATTTCACCATTTTTATTTTCTACTTACTTTTTTAAACCATGTAAACACCTGAATTTATAAACTGGGATATTTACCTTAATGTTTAAAGAAAATCTTTAGCATCTTTATGAAACAACATTTCAAAAGCTTTGGTATCACTTAAAACTTGAGAAGACGTGTTCAATATTAATGACTGTGATAGTTCAAGTAGGTAAGTTGGATGAGGTGACTGTCCTCTAAAAGTCTTTTAGGTAAGCAGGCATATATTTCATAATGATTAGAAGATAAATATCTGGTAAGTAGCCTGAAAATGTCAGGCTATTTCACTTACGTTTAATTTTAAATACTTTCTAGTGACAGTGAGCTTTTTTTTTTTTAAACTGTTCTTCAGGAATTTTTCTGAACGTTGTTTGTATTTTTTTATATATCTTTAAAATACTCTTTGGAAATTAAAATTTCTCATAAATGAGCTAGATACTGGTACTTGGACCAAATCAAGATGTGTATTTTTCACATGTTGAAATATTTTTCAAGAATTTGCTAATGTGACTAGCAGAGAATCTTCATCTCTGTAAATTTTAGATTTCCATTTCATCTGAACCTACAAGGTGATGTAACAGAAATTTAAAGCATTTTGTACCTCGCAATATCAAGGAGATTTATTCAAAGTAAGCTATGGCAGAGACAAGAGATGTAGAAAGCAAATAATACAGGTAAAGTAAATGTTAGGTTAGCTGTTTATCAAATTGGCCATTGAAGTCTGTTGTTAAAGCAAATGCCACATAGGTCTTGGAGGAATTTGGTAAGGAAAAAGAGTAAATCACGGAACAAAAGGCACATCTTACAGCTTGAACTCTCCCTTGGCTGGTCCCTAAGCTGTATGAAAGCCACCAGTCAATGTAAGTAAGAACAGAAAAGTGGCTTTTATTTATGAGATTAAAAAATACCTTGCTTAAATACATAAACTTGAAAATAATTAAATGCAAGTTAGTCCTGAAATGTTAATTTTTGTAATCCTGATACAATAAATCATGTTCCATAATGAAACTCCACTACATTTTATTACTTCTGCATTACAAATCGGTGTCTATGAACACTGTCACTTTGTTCAGCTTACGTTTTATGTTCTTTTCATACTGCTTTGTGTAGTGATATTTATGTAGGTAATGAAAAGCCAAAAAAAAAGAAGTAAAAAAAATTAATTACGTGTCAGGAAAATTGCAGTTGTGTTCAACAAAATTAGCTAATTAATGTCAACCATATATTTTTTAACATAAGTGTTCTACAGTCTTCTCTCCTGCTAACTCTTTGTTTTATTTCATCTGTCAGTGAGAAGAAGAAAGAGAAAGAGCGTGAAGAACTGTGGAAAAAACTGGAGGATTTGGAATTAAAGAGAGGTCTTAGACGTGATGGAATAATTCCAACTTAACAAAAAAACAAAACAGCATTATTAACCTGTGGAGTCACACATTTATGTAGTAGAAGATGGAGCAACAGTTTTCTGTATTGTGCAACTTTACAGTAGATTTCACATTTGTTTCATTATTACAACAGCACTGTATATACCTGTCTCTAAGTAAAGGAAAAAAATAAGGACTTTAATCCAAAGTTTGGACAGCAGATGGACTTCTCAGAACTTTGCAAACATAATCGTTGTTTTAACCCTTCTTTAAAACCAGTCTTCAAAGATCTGTTGATGAAAATTGAGATGTCAAATTCCATTGTCAGGACCTGTTCCTTATTTATCATTAGCAGAGAGTATAATACAACTTTCAAATGTGAACAATCTTAAAATTTAGCTTGTCTTTCTGCTAAACTGTTAAGTGTATTTATAGTAAAAGAGAAAAAAGACTGTCATTTCCTTATGAGTTTGTGTAACATCCTCCTTCTCTGGATAACTTTACTGTAATTTGACTTTTTTTCCTTTTGCACATCTTCCTGAGTTGAATGTTCATTCAGATCAGGGCCATGAAAAGTATAGGTCCTAAATAAAAGTTTTGTTTACTGGTGTGAGCATTTTTTTTTTTTTTTTTAGTACCAGGCTGTCTCTGGTGCTTCCGTAATTTGAACATTAGGAGTTAAAAAACAAGTAGGTGATAAACATAGTAGGAAAGGGAGCTTTGGATTCCTGCACCTATTTATTGCAAATCCAAATTAGTGTCCACAATCCTTTAAAAACGGGCAGTAGTGACACCTTGGACTTCAGTACCTAGCCAGTATTAGTGATATGGCATTGGACACACATACTAGAGTTGTTTTAGAAATACTAATTGCTAAATTGTGAGAGTTTGTTTTTCGAGAGAATAAAGACAAACACTAAACATTGCAAGCATGAAATTGACCTCCAGCGGTCATAGATCAAATTGGAAATTGAGTTGAGGTAGCAGTTTGGACTGTTTGGAGTTGTTGCCTTACTTTTTAGTATGTATTTATAAAGTGTTCCAGCAAAAGAGGATGTAGCCTCTAAGAAACATACTGTAATGTTTTTGTGGTTCTAGTACTATTACTCATCACAGTCCCAGCCCTATGGTCATAGCTGGAAAGGATTCTGGATAATATACTTCTGCATTCTCATCTGGATGCTCATTCCTAACTACTGTATTTGTTACCAAAAGTGGTTCTACAAATGCTACTGAAAAAAATTCTGGAAATCCTAATGTTCTGAGTATTAATAATAAAGTTTAAAATGCTTTTATATCAAAGGTGCATTGTGACCAAATTGTTTAAAACAAAAGAGAAAGAAAAAAAGGTAAACAAAGAAGAGGGCTGTATTATAAGTATACATTATTGGCTATCTGCTTTGTATTTGAAAGTGGAATCTTACATCTTTGGTAGGTAAAATGCTGATAAGACTTATGTACAGTATATATTTAGCTAATGCAGTTGCATTATTATATACCGAAAGGTATGTGTTTCAGGATTTTTCTCCAGGATGCTTTTGAACTGTTATAGACATATGACAACAGTGAATTGATAATCCTAAACCATCAATCCAGCAGTATTTACAGTATAAAACTGAATTGGTGTTCATGAGTCTTTGTGATAGTTGCAAACATGAATTTATGACCTGTTGCCATTGGTAAAAATACAGTATCAATACAAGCTTGTATATTTTTCTTCCTACCATTTAAATATACAGTAGGATTTGAAGTTTTCTTGTTTTCAGGCACGGAAAAGAGGTAAAAAAGAATTCCCTCCTAGACTACTGACTGTTTCAGGATTATCAGGTCACAGTTTGTACTCCTGGGTCTGTGCACACAAATGTTGTAAACTCAAAAGATTTTGTAAAAACTTGGCACTGTTAATTCTGGAAAAAAAAAAAAAAGTGGAGCGAGTCATATGCAACACCAAACACGACATGGTTTAATGGGATTAATATGAGCTTCTTTTAAGAACACTGACTGGGACGCAATGTAAATTAGGCAGTTACTGTCATAGTTGAAACATTTTATTTTAAAGTGCTGAAGCAAAGGTGCAAGCTGAAATACTGAAGATTAAATAAATTTATAACAAATCGTGTCCCTTAGCCCATTGATTTTGACAGTCTTTTATTTCTGTTACCAAAAAAAAATACTTGCTAGTGTGATTTCTGTGAGAAATTATCATGCTTTACAACAGGGTGGAGTTAAACTCGTGCTCAAAGACTTTGTTCAGTTGTGAAAAACTGGGGTAGAATGGAGGAAGAACGATTAATGTTTTCCACCTGGTGGAATAAACCACAGAAATGTGACATTAGAAGAAGCACCTTGTCCTGTACTTAGAGTTTAGGTGAGTGTTGTTTGTTTGTAGCTACTTTTGGTTTTGACATTGACATTCTGGTATTGATCATACAAAACTGATGAGAACCTGATGGGTTGCAATATTTTGTTACCTCTGATGTTACCTCTGATGTGGGGATAGTGGGGAGTATCTAAAGTTTATAGATGATTTATCACTTCCAAGAAGGAATGTTTCTTTAACGTGAAAGAGACGATGTGCTATTAGTCACTTGACTCTAAAAGGCTGATACGACACTAGGTTGCACTGTGCGATGTACGTGGAGAAGCACTTGCCACAATGATACGGCCGTACCCCCGGGATCCACTGTTTGCTGCAATCCAAATGCCATGTCCTGCTGCTCTGCAGAGCTCCCATTGGTATCAGTTGGAGTTGCAGGCCAAGAAGAAGGCAGCGTATGGGCCCAAGTGTGATCAGTACGTCTATTTAATTACGCTTTCGTTTGCTGCTTGAGTTCCAGAAACGACCTTGATTTCTGTAAATGTTTTTATTAACTGCTGGTACAGCAGTTGTTGGGCGGTCGCTCGTGTCCTGTACCATATTGGTTTCAGGAGAAAGGATCGAACGCTCTCTGGTAAAAAGAAAGAGCCGCGTTTTCAAAACTAGGGCATTGCATCAGGTCATGGGGATAGAACAACTGCAAAAGTAAAGTTCCTCTCGTATACTTCAAATCGAGCACACGTTGCTTTCTTCATCTTGCAAGTCTCCCTTACTGTTTTCCTTTCATTGCTTTGGAGTGGTTTTTGTCACTCTTCCAAAGGTTGGAACGCTTTAAATAAAAGTATTCTAATGCCATTGGAGCGTTCACTAGCAGGGTTACAGTAAATTTAATCTTGATTTTTGTCAGCATAAATAAAAGGATTTAATTTATTTTTTTATCTCCTATATATGGAAAAATTGAGGGTGTTAGAGCCAAGAATTGCTCGAGTAAGAAATGCAGCAGCTGTACCTACATTATACGTGCGTAAGTACAGCCTCAGGCTCTCTCACTCTGTGGAAAGGAAAATACATTAGGAGCTTTAGAAACCTCTTTATTGTTTTGTGAGGAGGAGGAAAGACTAGAGTCTTCTCCCCTCAAGTAAAACGGAAATAATTTGCTTTTAGTTCTGTCTTGAAAAAGAAAGATGGCCTTTTCTCTTAATTGTATAACAATACCATCCCGAAGCAGTTGCCCTAAGACAAGACAAAGGTGACAATGCTTAAGATTGAAGAAGGTTTTTATTTATGTGTGGCTTTTTTTGTTTTGGCTCACCTGCTTCCCTTAGCAGCTCTGGAGAGAGTCACAAATTAGTTTTTCTAGTTGGTATGTGCAGCAGATTTTGTATAGTCCAGCTTTTCGTTTTGAAGTTCTATGAAATGGTATCTTGAAACAGAATGGAACTAATTTTGGTTGAAAACTTTTATCTGAGTGTTGCTTCCCATCCACAGGAGCACACGCTTTTTATCATGACCTCTGAATACAAGTTTTTGTTATTTGAATCACTTACTGTAAATATGTTGTATTCATAACCTCATGTAACGGTGAGGAGTTTTCAAATATAAATAGTACCGATACATTTCTTGTTGTTGTCCTATTTTTGATTGTAGTATAGCGAATGACCTGTCATGCTTTTTGTTTCCAGGTTAGCATTAGATTCATAGATCTTAATATTTTAGCATTTCATTGTTTAAGCAGGAGAGGGCAGCAAAAGTTCATTTTTCCCCATAGGAATGCTCTGGTCCATTACTGTTTTTAAACTTAGATGCATTTAACTATCTGTGGGTAGGGGGGAAAAATGAAACATTTTTTATATATACTAAAAGGTGCGTATGAAAATATATAGACTGGTCCAACCAGACTGTGAAAATGTCTTCTACTCTACATTGAAGTAATAATAAAAGTACCTTCCACCTCTGGATACAGTACAAGCAGGTCTTAAGCTCTTGGATTCAAATGTCATTCTTTGGAAATAGTTTACTTTCTTAAAAATGGTATCAAAGAAACTCTAACTCAATGGTGCTCCCAGCTATAAATGTGTAATCTTCCTCTTTTGCACATGCTCAAGAGGCTCTGTACTGTGGGTGCATCTAAATAAAGAAGCAATGAAGTGTTTTCCAGGTGCTTGGCTTTTTTTTCCACCTTCTCCCGTCTAAACCTCCATGTGCCTTTTCAACAGTGAACTTCCAGCGATCAGATACCCATTTGCGTGTATTAAATGTAAGGCCGCTTGTCTGAGGAAAAAAAGCCACCAAACAGTGAGGTGGTAATTTAATTTTCTGCCAGAATTAGCATAGTTAACACTCATTTCATTAAGTTTTTTTTTTTTAAAGGTCTTCTCATGACGAACATCCTTGTACTGCACACAACCGTGCCAGTGAGGGAGGTAAAGAGCTGTGGATACAGAAAAGAGGCATTGGAGCCACACAATGTTCTTTATAAACCCTTCAAGCCTTACGCTTCACAGCTGGTGAAGGAACTTGTTCTTTTGTAACATTATTCTGCTGTTTCAGTCCTTGTGTTACTCTGCCTTGCAGTTCGGAAGCGAAGAGAAAGGCTAAAGATGGTTACGTACGTGGGAAACACCCTCCGGAGAGAACCATGGATAGAGCCTGGTAAGGGGCAGTGCTGGCTGTAAAACTAGAGACAAGATGTATTAAACATCTACTTCTGGTTTTAAAACATCAGTTTCCTATGTGTATTATTCCAGGAGCCTAATTCCTAAAACTTATTTCCATTTTCATTTTTTCCAAATTAAATTTTCCGCAGTTGGGCGTTGTGTGCCTTTGTTAGAAGAACTCATTATCACAAATCTCTTTAAATACTTGTAAGACAATATTCAGATCACTTAATAACCGCAAGTCTCTTGACTTTCTTATTGCAAGGCAAATATTTTCCAAAGAAGTTAAAAAATGAGAACACGCAGTAAGCTGGCCTTCAGGGTAGGATTTGTCTTCAGTACTTGCAAGTTAGAAAACAACCTTTAAAGGACTGGAATTAAAAAATCAGTTTCCTACTTTTTGTAAAAGTAATTGCTTTGCTAATTTTTCATCTTTGTCTTTCCTTCTCAGGAATGTTTTGATTTCTCATATAGTAGCAGAGCACCTAGTTTGTCTTAGGTTAAGTTTGGACTCGGGATCACAAGTCTGTGGCCTACAAAAGCAGTTTTGTGTGCAGGTGAAGGCTGTTCCCAAGTCTGTAGACAATTGTACATGAAAATGTACAGTACAGCAATAGCTTGGGTATTAAACTAGAAACTGATACAAGGTCTTGCGTTATGAGGTCAAAGCTACCTACGGTTTTAAAGATTAAATGCTGAAGCCAAAGTGAATATCCTGAATTTGTTAGCAAATATCTTGGAAGGAATTGTACTGACCCACTGTGAGTGGTGACTACAGGCTTTTCTGGAAGTCTCCATCACATGAAAAAAGTTACACCAAAACTTTTATCCTTTACTGTTTTTCTGTTTGATTGTTTTGGGTTTGTTCCCCCCTGCCACCCTTCATTTTGTCTAGTCAGTACTCCACCCCCTTGCCCTTAAGTCACTGAAGGTGTGAGAAGTTGGGGATCACTCAAGAAGGATGGAAAGCTTGTGATACATCTAAAGAAATAAATGTTTTGCCTTAATAGACAGTGGCTCATAGCTTTGACACACACTTGAAAATGCCTGGGAACTTGTCTTGCATTATCTCTGAATCTGGGAAGGTCTTCCAAAAAGCGAAAGCTCATATAGTTAAGTTATTCTCTACCGCTTCTGAATCTTGTTACCAAAATTCTTCCTATGTCACCAGCTGGGACAAGTTTTCGCTTGCGTACAAAGCCTCTCCGCTTCGCCGACAGAGAGAGCAGCAACCCAAGAGTCAGTATTTATAGAGCATCTGGCTAGTGGAGTGGTGCACTGAGGGATACGTATGCCAGCCCGCCAGCCAAAGCAGGATGAAGCTCAAG